TTAGCCGGGCATGGTGGCGCGTGCCTGTAATCCCAGCTACTCAAGAGGCTGAGGCAGGAGAATTGCCTGAACCCAGGAGGCGGAGGTTGCGGTGAGCCGAGATCACGCCATTGCACTCCAGCCTGGGTAACAAGAGTGAAACTCTTGACTCAAAAAAAAAAAACCAAAACAAAACAAAAAAAATCTGTGTGCTTCAAGCAGAAACATGTATGACTGCTTTGATTAACTTCTACTCTTCCCCCATCATATTGGATGATGGAAGCATAAATGACTTAGAAATATAATCAATAATATTGACACTCGACTGAATTATCAAACTAGCCACACCCTCAAATCATTAGTACAAATCCCAAAATATATTTTTTATCCTAGTGAAAATATTGATTTTTATAGATATAGCCCTCTTAAAATAATTTTTTGTCAGATTGGTAACATTTAGGGATGTGCTTCTACGCACACCAGAGAAAATGGAGTATGTAACACAGCAATATTGTTATGCAGAAAAGGTGCCTCTGTTTTTTTGGTTTGGGTTTTTCTTTTTTCTTAAGATTTGTTTCTCCTTTTTTTAAAAAAAATATAATACGAGTAGCTAATGGTCAAAAATTATTTGCTTTTACTCACAAAAACAATTTTGCTTGTGGTTGATTCTACCAGATCCAGTCAGATGGCTACTTAGGGTGTTCTCTCCAGGAAAATTCTAATTCTGACAACCTGGGCCCACTGCCAGCCTGCATACTTTAAAAGTGTGACAAGATAAATAGAAATTTACTACCCAGCACTAGTTTAATCTGAATCAAAAGCTGACTTAATTATTTTGGATTGGCCTTACCTAACCACATACGGTTGACCTGAAGAATATTAGTTTCCTACTATAGTGTTAAGGAAAGCTGATTTTTACTATAATTCTAATTTTCGGACGTTGGAAAACAAGTAATTTCTGCGGCCAAATTAACGCGTATTTTGAATACCTAGGCATCCTTTCTTTGCCACATTCTTCATAGTATTTATTTTTTTTTCTGAGACAGTCTCACTGTGTCACCCAGGCTAGAGTACAGTGCTGGGAACTTGGCTCACTGTAACTTCTGCCTCCCGGGTTCAAGCAATTCCCCTGCCTCAGCCTCCCGAGTATCTGGGATTACAGGTGCGCGCCACCACACTCGGCTAATTTTTGTATTTTTAGCAGAGATGGGGTTTCGCCATGTTGACCAGGATGGTCTCAAACTCCTGACCTCATGATCCGCCTACCTCGGCCTCCCAAAGTGCTGGGATCACAGGCGTGAGCCACCGCGCCTGGCCTTCTTCATAGTATTCTTCATGAAGTTCCTTTCTTTTAAAATCAATGGTACCGCAGGGTTACCACTATTGTCCTTGTATGATTCACATCAGTGATCTGTGATTACCTTTTTTAAAAATCTCTATCACCCACACTGGGGTGCAGTGGATCATGCAATCTCCAGGGTTCCAGAGATTCTCCTGCCTCAGCCCCTCTGGAGTAGCTGGAATTACAGGCATGTGCATCCAGGCCCAGCTAATTTTTTATTTTTGTATTTTCAGTAGAGATGGGGTTTCACCATGTTGACCAGGTTGGTCTCGAACTCCTGACCTCAAGTGATCCGCCCACCTTAGCCTCCCAAAGTGTTGGGATTACAGGTGTGAGCCACTCCGATCTTTTTATGTCAGTGGCCTTACTGTTCTAGTCTCTTGAACAACATGCAGCTTTTACTAGGTGTGTGTCTGGCATCTGAATTACAAAAAAAGATACTAGTATTCATTGAGGGCTTACAATACATCAGGTGCTTCATAGTCACAAATTCATTGAACCCTTACAACAAGCCTCTATATAGTAGCTCCTAATGCTCCCATACAACAGATGAGGAAAACTGAGACTTGGCCGCATCCCCATAGTTACAGAACCAGTAAGAGGGATTAGCAGCCAGGTCTACTATGAATCCCAAGACCCCACTTTCTTCTGCTACCAATTATCACCTCCTTCTACCACGGTTTCCCTTTGCCTTGGTTTTTCCGTTCCCTTAGATTCAAGTAATAAATACATAGGAGGAAACATATAAAACAGAAAGAAGGAAGATGGCTTTGGGAGGAGGAGAGGAATAGACAGTGAAGCAATCTTTAATTTTGAAGACATGGAAAATAAATATTTAGAAAGTAAAACCAATTCCCATCCTTTACACATGCCATTATCATCCTATACACAACCCTGGAAATTTGCCCACTGAGGTAATTATGGAGCACTGCCTAATGTGTTTCAAGGGAAGGCTCCTCTGTTTGGGCTATCCAGGATTTACAGGGAGTTAAAATCATTAAATAACCATAGTTGACCCTTGTTCGGCTAAGAGGGTAAGCAATTATTGCAGAGTCCTCTTCCCTGCCTTCAACAAACAACACAAAAACGGTTCTGAAGGGATTTACACAATACATCAACATCTGTCCCGTACCTAGAGTTGTTAAAATAATTGTGATGACAGGTGTCTAGGTGCCACTTTCTTAATGGTTTTCAATATCCATTGATTTATTGTTGTGGCTTTCTCGTCCCCTTTACAGCTTTGGCTTTAAGAAAGAGCCGGGGAACAGATTTTGCAGAGAGGCTGATTCTTTATTCTAATGCTGAAAAGAACTAATAAAAATAATCACTTGGCTTTTAAGCAGAAAGCTTCCATTTACAGTATTTCACCCTTACCCCGCCCCCTTCCAAGCCCCTTGTTATCTAACATAATGGTTAGAATACATTTCCGTCTCTCCCCTTAATAATTTCATGCATTAACATCCCTTTCACACACTAAACACACACACGCGCGCGCGCCCGCGCGCGCACGCACACACACACACACACACAGCAAAAGGAAAAAAGAGGCAGCAGAAATCTCAGCTGTACTTCTAGCCCTTTTAAAAAGTTTGCTCTGTAAATTGGAATGAGGTCAGATTTGGAGCTTCTCATTGCACGCGGAGATTATTATTGCATCGGGTTCCAAGCCAATGGGAAGCCCGGGGGCGGGGCTTGGCATGAGGAAGCGTTGGTTACAGCGGCTGATTGGCTGCAGCCGAGACTGTGAAAGGATAAAGAGGCGCGAGGCGGAATTGGGGTCTGCTCTAAGCTGCAGCAAGAGAAACCGTGTGTGAGAGGAAGAGGCCTGTCTCGCTCGCGGGTCTCTAGTTCTTGCAAGCTCTTTAAGAGTCTGCACTGGAGGAACTCTTGCCATTACCAGCTCCCTTCTTGCAGAAGGGAGGGGGAAACATACATTTATTCATGCCAGTCTGTTGCATGCAGGCTTTTTGGCTTCCTACCTTGCAACAAAATAATTGCACAAACTCCTTAGCGCCGATTCCGCCCACAGAGAGTCCTGGAGCCAGAGTCTTTTTTGCTTTGCATGGTAGGAGAGGGACTAAGTGGTAGAGAGACTATGTCGCTTTCCTGAGCTACCGAGAGCGCTCGCGAACTGGAATCAGCTGCTTCAGGGGGAAAAACACACGCACACACACACACACACACACACACACACAACACACGACTTGCCTGGGAGGCCGCGAGAAACTTGCATTGGAAGCTTCGGCAACCAGCATTCGAGAAACTCCTCTCTACTTTGGCACGGTCTCCAGACTCAGCCGAGAGACGGCAAACTGCAGCGCGGTGAGAGACTCTCCAGCCTGGGAACTATAACTCCTCTGCGAGAGGCGGAGAACTCCTTCCCCGCATCCTTGGGGGACTTTTCTCTCCTCGCGCTCCTCCGCCCCTGCGAGGAGTTGAGGGGCCGGTTCGGCCGCCGCTCGGCGTGTGCTTGGCCCGGGGAGCCGGGAGGGCCCGGCGATCGCGCCGCGGCCGCCGCGAGGGTGTGAGCGCGCGTGGGCGCCCGCCGAGCCGGGGCCATGGTGCAGCAAACCAACAATGCCGAGAACACGGAAGCGCTGCTGGCCGGCGAGAGCTCGGACTCGGGCGCCGGCCTGGAGCTGGGCATCGCCTCCTCCCCCACGCCCGGCTCCACCGCGTCCACGGGCGGCAAGGCCGACGACCCGAGCTGGTGCAAGACCCCGAGCGGCCACATCAAGCGGCCCATGAACGCCTTCATGGTGTGGTCGCAGATCGAGCGGCGCAAGATCATGGAGCAGTCGCCCGACATGCACAACGCCGAGATCTCCAAGCGGCTGGGCAAACGCTGGAAGCTGCTCAAAGACAGCGACAAGATCCCTTTCATCCGAGAGGCGGAGCGGCTGCGCCTCAAGCACATGGCTGACTACCCCGACTACAAGTACCGGCCCAGGAAGAAGGTGAAGTCCGGCAACGCCAGCTCCGGCTCCTCCGCCGCCGCCGCCTCCAAGCCGGGGGACAAGGGAGACAAGGTCGGTGGCAGCGGCGGGGGCGGCGGCGGCGGCGGCGGCGGGAGCGGCCACGCGGGGGGAGGAGGCGGCGGTGCGAGCGGCGGCGGCGCCCCCTCCAAGCCCGCGCAGAAGAAGAGCTGCGGCTCCAAGGCGGCGGGCGGCGCGGGCGGCGGGGGCGGCAAACCGCACGCCAAGCTCATTCTGGCGGGCGGCGGCGGCGGGAAAGCAGCAGCGAACGCCGCCTTCGCCGCCGACCAGGCGGGGGCCGCCGCCCTGCTGCCCCTGGGCGCCGCGGCCGCCGCCGACCACCACGCGCTGTACAAGGCGCGGACTCCCGGCGCCTCGGCCTCCTCGGCGGCCTCGGCCTCCGCCGCGCTGGCGGCCCCGGGCAAGCACCTGGCGGAGAAGAAGGTGAAGCGCGTCTACCTGTTCGGCGGCCTGGGCGCGGCGGCGGCGTCGCCCGTGGGCGGCGTGGTCGCGGGCGCCGACCCCAGCGACCCCCTGGGCCTGTACGAGGAGGGGGGCGCGGGCTGCTCGCCCGACGCGCCGAGCCTGAGCGGCCGCAGCAGCGCCGCCTCGTCCCCCGCCGCCGGCCGCTCGCCCGCCGACCACCGCGGCTATGCCAGCCTGCGCGCCGCCTCGCCCGCCCCGTCCAGCGCGCCCTCGCACGCGTCGTCCTCGGCCTCGTCCCACTCGTCGTCGGCCTCCTCCTCGGGCTCCTCGTCCTCCGACGACGAGTTCGAAGACGACCTGCTCGACCTGAACCCCAGCTCAAACTTTGAGAGCATGTCCCTGGGCAGCTTCAGCTCGTCGTCGGCACTGGACCGGGACCTGGATTTTAACTTAGAGCCCGGCTCCGGCTCGCACTTCGAGTTCCCGGACTACTGCACGCCCGAGGTGAGCGAGATGATCTCGGGAGACTGGCTGGAGTCCAGCATCTCCAACCTGGTGTTCACCTACTGACGGGCGCGCGGGCAGGGAGGAGGAGGGCCGGGGGGTCGGAGAGGAGAAAAAAAAAGAAAAAAAGAAGAAAAAAGAAACGAAAAGGACAGACGAAGAGTTGAAAGAGAAAAGGGAGAAAAAAAGGAAAAGAAAAAAAAGTGAGCAGTGCTGGCTTCTGCCGCGTCCCCGTCGTCGGAGAGGAGCGCGGCGGCGTTTTGGACCCGCGCTCCCATCCCCCACCTTCCCGGGCCGGGGACCGACCCTGCCCAGCCGGAGGGACGCGGGGGAGGCGGAGGGTAGACAGGGGCGACCTGTGATTGTTGTTATTGATGTTGTTGTTGATGGAAAAAAAAAAAAAAGCGACTTCGAGTTTCCTCCCCTTTGCTTGAAGAGACCCCCTCCCCTTCCAGCGAGCTTCCGGACTTGTCTGCGCCCCCAGCAAGAAGCCGAGTTAGTTTTCTAGAGACTGAAGGAATCTCCCCTTTTCCCGCATCACCACCTTGGTTTGGTTTTGTTTTGTTTCTTGGTCAAGAAAGGAGGGGGAAAACCAGCGCGCCCCCTCCCCCCCTTTTTAAAAATGCCTGAGGAAGATGGAAGGCTCCGGGGTGACGAATTTGGCCGATGGCTGATGTTTTGGGGGAGCGCCGGGACTGAGAGACTGACTCCAAGCAGGCGAATTCCCGTTTGGGGCTTTTTTTTTTTTTTTTTTTTTTTTTTTTTTTTTTTTTTTTTTTTTTTTTTCCCCTCTTTCTTTCTCCCCTGCCCCCTCTGCAGCCGGAGGAGGAGATGTGGAGGGGAGGAGGCCAGCCAGTGACCGGCGCTAGGAAATGACCCGACAACCCCGTTGGAAGCGCAGCAGCGGGGGCCAGGGGCGGGGGCGCGGAGAAGGACACGAACTGGAAGGGGGTTCACGGTCAAACTGAAATGGATTTGCACGTTGGGGAGCAGGCGGCGGTGGCTGCTGGGCCTCTGCCTTCTTTCTACGTGGAATCAGTGAGGTGAGACTTCCCAGACCCCGGAGGCGTGGAGCAGAGGAGACTGTTTGATGTGGTACAGGGGCAGTCAGTGGAGGGCTAGTGGTTTCGGAAAAAAAAAAAAAGAAAAAAGAAAAAAAAAGGGTTTTTTTCTTCTCTTAATCGGAATCGTGATGGTGTTGGATTATTTCACTGGTGGGGTTAATATAGCATGTTATCCTGTCTATCTTTTAAAGATTTCTGTATAAGACTGTTGAGCAGTTTTTAAAATAGTGTAGGATAATATAAAAAGCAGATAGATGGCGCTATGTTTGATTCCTACAACGAAATTATCACCAGCTTTTTTTCATTCTTAACTCTTTAAAGGATTCAAACGCAACTCAAATCTGTGCTGGACTTTAAAAAAAAAACAATTCAGGACCAAATTTTTTCTCAGTGTGTGTGTTTATTCCTTATAGGTGTAAATGAGAAGACTTTTTTTCCTTCACCGATGCTCCATCCTCGTATTTCTTTTTCCTTGTAAATGTAATCAGATGCCATTTTATATGTGGACGTATTTATACTGGCCAACCATTTTTTTTCTTTTGTCCCTTTTTTGCTTTCCTTTCTTTTTACCGCCTTTCTTTCTTCCTTCCTTCCTTTTCTTTTTTTTCTTTTTTTCTTTTGGTTTTTGTTTTTTCGGTTTTTTGGCAGTTGTTGTTACCCACGCCATTTTACGTCTCCTTCACTGAAGGGCTAGAGTTTTAACTTTTAATTTTTTATATTTAAATGTAGACTTTTGACACTTTTAAAAAACAAAAAAAGACAAGAGAGATGAAAACGTTTGATTATTTTCTCAGTGTATTTTTGTAAAAAATATATAAAGGGGGTGTTAATCGGTGTAAATCGCTGTTTGGATTTCCTGATTTTATAACAGGGCGGCTGGTTAATATCTCACACAGTTTAAAAAATCAGCCCCTAATTTCTCCATGTTTACACTTCAATCTGCAGGCTTCTTAAAGTGACAGTATCCCTTAACCTGCCACCAGTGTCCACCCTTCGACCCCCGTCTTGTAAAAAGGGGAGCAAAACTAGCCAAACGCTGTAAGCTTTTAAGAAAAAGTTTCAGAGGAAATACTGTTCTGTCCAGAGGCTTTAAAACTGGTGCATTTTCAGCAAAAAGGGATTCTGTAGCTTTAACTTGTAAACCACATCTTTTTTGCACTTTTTTTATAAGCAAAAACGTGCCGTTTAAACCACTGGATCTATCTAAATGCCGATTTGAGTTCGCGACACTATGTACTGCGTTTTTCATTCTTGTATTTGACTATTTAATCCTTTCTACTTGTCGCTAAATATAATTGTTTTAGTCTTATGGCATGATGATAGCATATGTGTTCAGGTTTATAGCTGTTGTGTTTAAAGATTGAAAAAAGTGGAAAACATCTTTGTACATTTAAGTCTGTATTATAATAAGCAAAAAGATTGTGTGTATGTATGTTTAATATAACATGACAGGCACTAGGACGTCTGCCTTTTTAAGGCAGTTCCGTTAAGGGTTTTTGTTTTTCCAACTTTTTTTTGCCATCCATCCTGTGCAATATGCCGTGTAGAATATTTGTCTTAAAATTCAAGGCCACAAAAACAATGTTTGGGGAAAAAAAAAAGAAAAAATCATGCCAGCTAATCATGTCAAGTTCACTGCCTGTCAGATTGTTGATATATACCTTCTGTAAATAACTTTTTTTGAGAAGGAAATAAAATCAGCTGGAACTGAACCCTAAATCTTGACTTTTGTCATTATTGTGCTCAGTGCCTAAGATTGGAAGGGCCCTACGGTATCTAGACAGTACACGATCTGCCTTAGCTTTGAAAAAAATAAGTTCTCAGAGGAGGCTTGTCAAATGCCACCTTACTGAGGAATATTAAATGTCTCTTGGCCAGATTTCTCCTGACCCTGAAATGATGGCATCAGATGAATATGTGTCCACTCTACACACGCTTTCTAGGAATTTTCTGAGTTTACCATATTTTAAAACACCCTTTGTCTTGGAATCTGAAAAAGAAGGGGAGGGCAACGTGGACAGAGTTCTTCACAGATGAAACTGGCTAGCTGATCTTTTTATGAATTTAGTACTCCCGGAGCTGCTTTCTCTTCGATTTGCCCATGCTTCCCTCTAGCAATGGCTAGAATTGGTTTCCATGAGCTAAGGACAAATAAGCTGTTAAAATTGTCAGTAGATTATAGAGGAGAAGGCTGTCACCAATTATCAAATGGAAAAGGTGTATGCATTTTTTCTTCCTCAAGCAGAAGGGTTGCTGTGGTGCTAAAATCTCCATTTTCTGCCATGCCCAACAATGTGACAGAACTGCAGCAATAAGGATGACCTGGAGAAGCTGGCTCCCTGTGGGCTCAGAGGAAAGTCCCCCGTCTCAAAATAGCACTGATTTTGGCTGCTGGAGATTTATGTTTTTTCTAAGAATCAGGCAGGATTACTGAGACTATGCAAGAAAAGTACTTAGATTTCCTAAGACCCGTTACTACTCCGTTTGGAACAGACAACTTGCTAAGTGCCACTATTTCCTGTTTATTTTGAGAGTTAACCATTGCTATTAACTAACAAAAGCCATCTTTACTTCCAAATGTCTGTTAATTTAAAAAGTGTCTTTTACATGTTTTGAGTCTTTCAGCACTGGAGAGGAGGGGTTAATAAGCAGGAGTGTTTGGAAATCATCCCTTATTCATTCGGATTGCTTGTAGATAAGGGAGTATTACTCATCCTGGAAGGTACACCTGGAAAACGATCTTTGAAGGGGTTTTGTGGTTGTGAAATGAAAAGCAATAATCCACCCCCTAAAACCAATACAACTTTTGTTTCAGTATAACTCATCTCTTAAAGATAGATGCCGGTTTTCAACATTTTTTTTCATGTATGGCGCTCATTTATTTAGTTTTGATTACATTTAGGTTCTGCAATTAGAATTCTACTTTATAAAATGACTACAACAACATGGCATCTTAAGTTTCTTCCAAGATCTTTGTAAAAGAAAGAACTCTTCTTTAGAAAAGTGCTTTTAAGTTTAATTTTCGTCACAGTGATATGATTGTTTAGCTTTTTTCAGGTCTAAGATATCAATACCATGACTAAATGAAGTCGAAATGATGCATTTTTTAAATGATACTTTTGAAATATTTTTTAATTTCAGGTTTATCCTGCTAGAACTGTTTCTTTTCCCTTGACTCTCCATGTAAAAGCAGATGCTTTAAATATTTCATTTAAGAATTTTGATAGCATTGTTTTAAAAATAAAAGCTGAAATGTGTGTGTCCTTCCTGGCAGGTAGTAAACATAAGAAGCATTTTCATACAATGTCTTTCCTCTAAGTCAGCTTTCATTCCTAAGGGATACTTACGTGTTAGGTGCTACAGGCATAATAAACCTGAGAATCCAAACAGTTTAGCATGATTTTTTTCTTACAGATAATTTGGTTCAATAGAAAAGAATAAGTTTCAGATTTTCTTTTAAGAAGATCAAACAATTCCTTCTAGCCCAGTGCTCCATCAGAAATGTGAATCAGTGATACACGCTTAAGCAAGTTTTGTCAGTTCCTAGATGAATCCCTTTAAATGCCAAGAAAAAAAGTAAAAAGCATGTAAGCTGAGAGTGTGGGCCCAGCACCTGGAAAGGCTTTTGGGGTTTGTGTTTACCCTGCTCTTGGGGGTACTAGGGAAGCTAAGGGAGGAGCTAAGGGATTCTGAGGAAAGCAAGAAAGCAAAGGGTTAAATGGACATCACCATTTACCCAGGGTTTCTTGTGTTTGTAGGGTACACGCAAATTGGAAGACATGGTCTGGGGAATGCTATGGGTCAGAATGCTTAATCATAAATCTAAAACATGTTTAGGGATCCCAAGAAACTATTTGAGTAGACACAAATGTTTAAAAAAAGAAGAATTTTAAGAATACAAAACCTGTTGACCCATTTGGATTTCTCAGAGTGTAAGGTTGGTATGCTTTATTTCTCTTCCTGGTGGTTTTTTGTTTTGTGCCTCCCCTGGCACCCCTCCTTTAAGGCCTACAAATACCTCTCTAACCCATATTCACTAGGGCTTACCCCTACCACCCTGTTTCATTCGGGACAATGATATCTCCATATGCATTTCTCTTTTTTTGAGACAGAGTTTCGCTCTTGTTGCCCAGGCTGGAGTGCAATGGCCTGTTCCCGGCTCACCGCAACCTCCCCCTACCAGTTTGAAGCCATTCTGCAGCCCTCAGCCTCCTGAGTAGCTGGGATTTACAGGCATGCGCCACCACGCCCTGTTAATTTGTATGTTTAGTAGAGACAGGGTTTCTCCATGTTGGGCAGGCTGGACTCGAACCCCTGACCTCAGGTGATCTGCCTGCCTC